GTGTCGATACTATTCGTCCAGAGGCACTGGGAGCAGCAGTAGTCCAAGTGGCAGAGCCAATGGCTTAGTTCTTCCAGCGTTGTCTAGACTATAACCAACTTCCTGCCGTGTGGAATCCTAGAATGAGAACACCCACTCACAAATGTGGAAGCAGAACCGAGGCTTCAAACTACTGTCCACTTTCCCTTCTCCCTATATTTTCCAAGGTGATGGAATCCATCATAGCCGATGCGCTGGTGGGCTATTTGGAAAAGTAACAGTATTCTTTCTGAGCTATATGTCTTTTGTCGAAATCGATCGTATGCAACGCCTTTGCTTATAGCACCGAGTAGCTGGGTCAAGTAAGCTGAAGCTGGAGAGGAAGTCAATATGCTCTACCTGGATTTCTCGAATGCATTCGACCGTCTAAATCATCGAATACTCCTTTCCACGCCACAGCGTTACGGGATCAGTGAACCTCTTCTAAGCTGGGCGCCAACTATCTCCTTCAGCGGAAATTGGTGATCAGAGTTCGGAGCTCATTCGCTGTCCCCATGTAAATTGAATGTGGTGTGTCTGAAGGCTCGGTACTACATCACCGATTGTAGTTGGTATTTATCAGTGACCTCACACATGCATTTACATCTAACTCCCTGTTGTTCGCCGATGACGTCAAGATTTGGCGCAACGTTCAGGGGAATATTGACCAGCAACTGCTTCAGAGTAATCCAGACTCGGTAAGTTAATGGTTTATCCCAAATCCACTGCAATTCAATGTGGGTAAATGTAAAGTGCTCTCCATACGACACCAGAGCAACCACTGTTACAGGCTCGGAACGCAAGTGCTGCAGCGAGCTGCCACCGAACGGGATTTTGGAGTACTGGTTCAGGATGACCTGGGTTGTTCCAGGCAAATCGCGACAGCCTCTAAAACTGGTAACCAACATGTGGGCCTGTTACGACGGGGGTTCGGACAAATAGATCGCGCTATTTTTCGGCAGATGCTTAGTGCGTATGTTCGTCCTCATGTCGAATATGCAATTCAAGCCTGCCGCCCATGGCGAAAACACGACCTTATTGCATTGGAGCAGCCCCAACGTCGAGCATCAAAGCACGTTATTGAAATACACCATCTTCCATACTAGAAGTGGCTGGAACGATTGGGGGTATTCTGTGAATGCTACCACCGCTTACGAGATAACTTGATAACGGTGCACTTAATTCTTCACGATCCACTTCATGTGTGCCACTCTGTACTGCAACTCAGCAGTAATACAAACTGGTAGAACAGTACAGTCGCCTGTATTGCCGTAGCGATTTCTTTTCCGTCCGCGTATGTCACACGTGGAATGGTCTTGCAGAATCGGTCATTTCTGCACCACCACTACCCATCTTTAAAAGATGTTTGGATGACTCATGTACTCCCCTCCACTTGGTTACCTAGTACCACGTCTTCAGCCCACTGCTGGAATAAACTTTGGATTTACTTGCTGTTACATGTTTGTGCTATAAAACCACACGAGTCACAGGACTACAACGAAACAAACGCTAAGTCACTCTTTTAAACGTAAATAACCCACTGCTTTTTTATTTTTCGACAACCGTGCAAAGTATCTAACGGGACTTGTAAAGCATTGCTTCTTACTCTGCATGAATGCATTGCTCATTGTTCATTGTAGGTCATGCGGTAATAATCATTCGCGACTGCCATGCAAGTTCCGTAACCCGAAGTGTTATTCGTGTCGTGAAATTGATCATATTCAGGCCACATGTCGTGATTCGCAGACCTTTTTAGTTCATTGAGCGACAGATGAACAAAAGCTATCATCCGAGGTTCATTCACTAGTACTTGCTACGGGTTTTTGTGATACTTCTTCTCACATGGCACAGAAATTTGTTGTCTACGGTAGACTACAGAATTCATTTATTATTGACACCGGTAGTATTGAGTCTTTTATTCCGAGTTCGTATATTGAAAGCGTAAATCCGAAACTTCCATTGAGACCAACAGCACCTTTTGTTAAAGAGATAACTGGTCATTCACTTTCTATTCTTTGCTCGTGAAGTATTTCTGTGAGAGTGCACTTCAAGTTCAGTCAAGTGTGTATTTTTCATACTTTCGGGAATCGTCAGCAGTGCGCATTCCATCGGACCGTGGTACGGCTCGAACCCGCAACTCGACTGTTGCGAGGCCGTGGTCGAGACCACAGAACTAAAGGGGACGGCAACGACCATCGTAAATAAGTTACTAAATGTGATATAGCACCGCTCACTATCCACTGACTTACACGTCACTGCCGTGCAGAGGACAGGGTAGTCCCCTCCGCAACCGACGTGTTTACCAAAATTAAGCCGCCAATTAACTTATGGCATTATAAGCAGTTTGGTCTGCGTAATGATTACAGAAGAGTAGTAGAGGGCGTTGAGTGTTACAGGCAGAAATTCTGAGTCTAGATGTGATGAATTGCTTGTGCTTCATTGTCGATTTGTTGTCGCTACATTATTACATCGGTACAGATTACAGTTTGGGCCACTCCAATAGTCACTCCACTAAAGCATGACGGTAAAGACGCCCAGTTGTGGTGACTATCGGGTTTCAGTGAACAAGTGCAAAGTATATAGACGTTCACTACTGCAGAACCTGAGGATGTCCTACCGCAGTTGAGGGAATCTAAATGCTTTTCTAAGCTCAATTTAAAGGATGCTTATTTACACATACATTTTGACGAACAATCTAGTGCCCTTACAACTAGAAACATGCCATGCGAATGATTACATTTCAACTTTTAACCTTTTAGTCGCACTGTGTCACCATCCGTTTTTCAAGATGTTATGGACTCCGTCACTGAGAATCTAGCAGGGATTGTACTGTACCAGGACAATGTTGTCGTTCATGCTCCTTCAAAAGCGATTCATGACAAGGGATTGTGCACGTCTTGAGAGGCCTTGTAAATTTAAGGTGACCGAAAACTCTTCGAAATGCAGTTTGGGCACATCAACATTTTCTTATCTCGGCTATATCGTCGATGGAATTGGTTTTCATCTGGATCCTGCTCGTTTCTTTTAATTATCTAATGCCAATTCTCCCAGAACCTTTGAAGAACTTAGTTCTTTAATGGGTTCTCTGCAATACTATTCAAGATTTATTCCTCATTTGCCGAAAACGCAGAGCCTCTATTCGAATTGCAGTCTGCAAACACGTTCCTTTGGACCGTCAATCATGAGAATGCGGTCCAGATGCTGTTTAGGACCATTTTCGCCAAAATTGCCATCAACTGCTATTACCTACTGGTATAGGAGGAGCATAAGAACAAAATGGTCATCCTGCGGTGTGCATCTTTAGACGACTTAGTCCAGCGCGACGCGGATACGCTTATACAATGAGAGAAGTTCTCGCGGTGCACTGGGCGGTAACAATAAAAAATGAACAATGAATTTATACGCGTTAAGAAGCGTTGCTTTACAAGTCCCGTTGGATAGTTAGTAGGTATATCGAAATAACAATAAGGCTAATAATGATAGTAAAACACTCAGTAATTTAAATATGAAAAGTAGGACTTATCGTTTGCTCCACCGTAGTCCTGCAATCCGCTTAGATTCACAGCACCAGCAGTTAACATCAACCAAATCCATGGTAAACTCCAGGTGTAGGATGGAGCTTGGAGAGTAGTATCCGATGGTCTAGACGACCGAAAGACTTGGAAAAATCCAGCTAGATCACATCAACACCTTCTCCAGCGTCAGCTGACTCGGTCCAACCACTGCGCCTCCACGTGTGCCTGTTTGGAATACACTTCACTATGGTAACAGACAACGAAGCGTTTAAGTACATTTACCATTCTCAGAAATGTTTGGCTAAATCGTTTGCTGCAGTGGTACTGCGCTGAAACGTTGCACTCGCTGCATATCCAGGGGACATCCAGCACCGTAGTGCTAAACACATTCCATCTGCTGATTAGTTGTCACTACTCGGTACGTCTAATGAAATGGTGAATTCAGAGTGCCTCTTGACGCAGTCATTTACAGAAGACCGTTCTGATCTAATTCGAAATACATTCAAGTAATTTTATGTTGTTCTGTCAACACTACGTTAACGATAGAAGCCTAAGCGGAAGAGAAGATTTCCGCATTTCTACAGGCTCCGTGATGAAGTTTCTGTTACAGTCGATGGAATTCTCTGTGTCCATGATCGCAATGTTGTGCCTCCAACGCTGCGATCTGTTGTGTTACAGGATTTGCATTCTGGTCATCTAGGTGTGAAAAAGGTAAGTCGATTTACTCCGCACGGCAGAGGATTGAGCCAGCTGCTCACATAAGATTCGTTCTAGACCATTTAACTGGACGCCCTGGCCCATGACATGTGAGGTGTGGCAACGAGTTCATGCAGACTACTGTGGTCAATTTCTGGACAAATACTATGCTCTGCTCATAATTGATTCCTTTTCACAATAACCAGAAGTGTATTCCAATACTACTGCATCAGCAGATTTTGCCATCACGGTTCTTCGCGAAGGAGTACCGTGTGTCGCGATCACACACAATGGAATTCATTTCAGTGCTAAAAATGTAGACATGGGTTTCCCTCACCTTTATACTGTGCCAACATATCCAGTCTGATGGTGCTGTTACGAAGTTAGTGTAAATAATGAAAAGCGCAATCACTTCGTTCAATACAACAACGTTTGCTGAGCTTGAAAAATTACTTGACAACTTCATTATGCAGTGTAAGGATGGGATACATTCGATTACCGGAAACAGCCCTGCTAAGCTGCGAAAGAGACGTGTGCTCAGGACGAATTTGTTGTGCTTTGGGTCTGCCGAGGTTGTTTACCACCGTGGAAATGATCTGCGACCATCACGTGGAATAATCCTCAGTTATATCGATTCCCGGATGTGTTGAATACTTAATCTAGCTGATGTGTCTGTACACAGTAGACACTCGAATCAGTTTTTATGTTACTCAGCTAACGGACCTAACACTTGACATGTGCCAAAGCCTTCTATCTCTGTGTCCGTTCCAGAAAAGCACCATGCGTGCGAAGAAGTGCAGGAAAGTCCACCGGAGCATTCTCGAAGTTCCGAAAAGCTGATGAACAAAGAACGCCGTAACTACAGCAGCCAAGCACTTCATTTAAACTGTGGCGGGTATGGTGATTGTTCTTAAACGATCTTTTATTGTCCTTGTTTTTAGTATACCTCACTAGTTGGTGTAATTCGAGTTGGTTACTATGATTTCCACGTGCGCTCGCTGTGCGTCGTTATTTCCGCGTTGACGCTAGCTCTGGATCTAAGCCAAGTCTATTTCAATTCCGACTAGTCAGAAGTAGGTCGATTTCTATTGTTTCTTACAATACCACCAAAGGACAAGTGAATCGTCAGTGTAGACGACTACAGATTTGACTGCAATGCTGGTTAGGGGTCCTTTGAAATAAGAATTAACTGTGTACAGACAAAGTAATATGGGGAGTGATTATACTTTACGTAATATGTGCTAAAACTTACATGAGGTATTTTAACAATTCAAATATTTGCATTCACGACAGCACTCTAATCTTAAATCTGTAATTGTTGTTATGTGAACTAAACATTGCATGCCAATTTTAGTTGTGGGCTTTACAACTGCAAGAGCGGCAGCAATTGTACGTCCGCCACGGACAGCAAAAGTAGTTGCTACATCACTGTATCCAAGCAAACTACACACCCATTTGTTTACTCACGCCATTGGGTCAAACGACCAACTCGTACTGGACAGCTATTCGGGCCTTTCTGGCATGCAAATTAAATTGGGCCTGCTGTAGGAATGGTTGCTTTTAAATCTAAAATACAGCTTCCGAACCGGTTGATGTGGGTTCCGAACTTGACAGACAGACTTCCAATCGGGTAACGAAGTAACGCGACAGTGTACTCAAATAGAGTGGACAAACATCGCACAGAGACGGTTTCCATTAGACACGCGATTCATTCGTTCAGCTTCAATGACGACATCTTGTCTGGCAATGGACGCGTTTGCGAACTCGCATCTATCAGTTCCACTCACTCTTGGAAAAGGCTGACATGACTTGCGCAGTAATTTCCTATTCACTACTATTCAACTATCCACGCTGATATCCCACGTTGTGATATATCTGACGGTAGCTTCACCCAGCAACCTACAATGTGCTTTCCAAACATCTCAGTTTTCTGAACAACGAAACTGTATCTACATTATCTCAGACTGATCATGCAAGAGTACGGCCCAGCGAATAGCAGCGCGAAAAGGACCATAAGTTGAACATATCGCTCGGGCATGGCTCACTGGAAGCCGGTCCCGTGTCACTCCCTTGCGCTAGACCTTAGATATCGCTTCAACCCCCTACAAACACACAAACAAACGTATGTGCACTACATATTTTGAAAACACTGTGAATACTCACACGTCCTACGCGCTGCCAGTGACATGCTATAGAACCAGATACGTAAAAAATAGGCCATCAACGTGACCAAAACATGTCATTTTTTTCCGGACAATTAGGAAAATGTACACACATATGTCGAATAGCATTACGACAGCCCACAACGCTAATATCCTTGATGGCTGCTCCGGCAATGCGCTCAAGGAACTGCAGCCTCCATTCCATCTGCATTATGAGTTTCTGGGGATCTCCGGGCAGGAGTTCCTAGTAGTGCACTCTCATTCTTCACTCTGGCCCTCACCACCTGCCAAACATTCTCGGTCGGATTGAGGAACGGAGAGTATGGGCTCAGTCGCAGTATGGTTACTCCCTCGTATCTACCTACTGATGATAGTTCTTCCTGTCGTCTGTGACCTGGTGCATTATCACATACCACGACAACCTGCCGGAGCTCCATCTCCCATTTCAGGTTGTCTAAGTAGCTTCGCAGCCATTCGAGAGATAGGGGACCTGTGAATGAGCCTATCCGGGTGGGCATCGACACTTTCCCTTACATTGTGAGTGCACCGGTCAAATGCAAATTGAGGCTTTTACTGTTGGCAACTTTGCAACTGGCCCTCACTCTACTGGGCGCGACCACGAGTACGCTTGCAGTAAACGTTGAAGTTTGCTTTGTCAATCCAAATGACGAACTTTGCCAACACCCTCAATTTGGAGAAACTGCTGAACGAATTCCTTGCGTATCCCTTTGCTTCGCTCATTGTTCATTTCCTCGGGAACCTGATACTGGCTAGTGTTAATTAGCAACACTAATGGCGAATGGCCGTTATCGAGAAAGATGTTCTTCATACTTATCAGTCGACCATTCAGGTGCCGTGTGATTGTTGACTTCGAGATGTCCCTGACCATTTCTGCTCGTACTCGTACTAGCATTTCCCGTAGCCTAAGAGTTGAGTCCCTTGCGATCCAATCCAGGATGTCATCTACGTCTTCCTCCGGCAAAATCCGCTTACGACCGCGCGCCTGCGTAGTACTCGGCTCCTGATCAAGAGAACGATGGATCCAGGAGTAGGCTGTTTGATATTTGACGTTGTTCACAGTTGCCACCAGCTGCCAGCCATCACCGTTGACTAAGACGCTCATAACCCGGTCACGAATGTGTGGTGAGATACTCTGGCGAACGCGAGAAGGCATGCAGACGATGTTACTATCATAGACATGGTTTCGGTCGTGCGCTTATGTTCCAGCAGTTCATTGCTCTCAGACCAATTGTAATCCATCGTTTCAGACGTGAGAGGGGCGCACACAAGCCCGCTGCACCGCCGAAGTGCCTGCCTCTAAGGTTCATTCACAAGTCTCACCCAGTCAACGGGCAGCGCGCTCACCTTCCCAGACTAATGCACCAAACCTTGGTATCCGACCAATGAGAACACACTTAAGGTGAGAGGATTGCATCACATAGTGTTTTGCAACATTTTGGACTTTCTTTGCAAGCTTTTGCACCGTTTATGCAACTGCGGGAAGTGCTCTGGTTAAGGTGTGACCAGGAAAATACACCTTGAATTTCGACGCATTTCACGAAAAACTATGATACAAATGAGACGAGGAAATATGGTACTTCTTTACAGGGACATGGATACGACCCGAAGTTACGCCTGCTACCAAACTCGAGAGAATACGATGTGAATACCGTGAGGGCAGATGGGAATTTACTTTTCAATATCAGATCAACTGGATTACAAGCTGAACTGGGCAACATCAATCGAAGGCATAAGAGCCACTTGTGTTTGACAGTTGGGCTTGTTGTCAAAACGTTTCCAACTAAAGCTCTTCTGATTGACATGGTAACTCAACGGCGATTCGGGAGGGATGCACTAACTGTAATTGTTGACGATGCAGAGGGCACTAATGTGGGTGAACAGGTAAATTTTCCATATCCCTCATGAAGGACTCCGACCATGTGGACATCTCGCCATTGTGAAAGGTGCGAAAAGAAGCTCCTACTGGAGGATACGTACTCCGTGCAGGAAAGAATAAAGTTCGGTGGAAAAACTGGTGTGATGGAAAGCAGTGATCTTGAGCAGCATAATAAAGGAATATGCAATCGCAGGGTGGAAGTTAGGCTCCATCAAACATCCTAGATTACTAGTCATTGTCCTTCCACATGAAGATAACATCACGGTGTTTGTGAGCCAGCACTGTTGTTAACATGACAGATTGGCTGTGCCTGAGTATCCATATAAAGACACCTTGAATAGGACCTATCTCCGAGGCAAAGTGCGCATCAAATGCTGATTTGTACAAATTATAGAATGTGACAAATCTGTTGGCATGCACTTTCAGGGAATTTTCGTCAAGTTTGGGATACTCTTCTGTCAACATATATGCACATGGTACTCTATGAAAGGCAGGAACAAGATCACTTACAAAATACATAACGTAGAAAAGCTCGATGTTCCTTGGTTTGTGAAGTAATATAAACCAGAATGCTGGTTACTTCCAGCTGGTTCGCGAACATCATACACCGCTGAAGGAGTATGTGTAATCATGTGATTACATATACCAGCATCCGCGTGGAGCCGAAAAGTGTTGCCTCCGCCATTCGTACGTTCCACATAGTGTGCCCGACGCTTTAAGCAAAACGGAGGCATTGTTTCCTCATGTTTACCGGTCACTGGATATTCCCGGACCCTGTTCCGAGAAGGTGGTTGTAATCCTGGTTGTAACATATCTCCGTCTACCATGAGTTTTTACTATACACATGAACAACAGCACTGGTTCCCTCCAGCCGCTGTGTGGACAGTTCGGTCCGCATTTAATGCCGCAGTGGCTTGTGTTTGCTAGGTCCTTGCGTTATGTCGTAACTCAGCGCACGATCACTAGTGGTAGAATGTTGGATTTTGAGTAAGTCGCAACACCAAAAATACCTGGCAGTTTGGTTTCCACGCAACATGAACACCGTGCCGTTTACAGGTCTGTGAGATTGAAGTGAGTTATCTGAACCCCCTGGAGAAATCTGAATGACATGAGCAATGAGCCATCAAAGCACGTCGATTGTTTCTCTCCTCTAATCCACCATTCGTACAGCTATCTTGGGTTGAACTCCGGGCGGTTGAATGAGTGATCGTGAAGCAGAACTCGTTCCCACAAGGTGCCCCATTTACTGGCGTGAAAAGCATTCGTGCAATGGAATAAGAAACGCCTTGCACCCATCCGATGCACTGACTGTGCGATGATGCTGTATTTAGTTTCGTAAGATATCGATTGAATTAAAGAGGGAGGCTATTCAAATCGTTAGGGTACTGGCACTAATGAATGGGCAGCCAACATGCCTAGCATGCTGGGTATTTGGCTGGTAATGTAACCCGATAGCCTGCTGCATACTTTCTTTGAATCATCTGGCACCGTGTTGAGAGGCTTCAAAAGAATGAAACGGCTTGTCTGGGCAGCAGTGACGAATCTTTTTATTGGGATTCGCGGTTATTTATTGTGTACAGGCAGTATTCTGCTTTCGTCCCTACACTAGTTTGCTCTTGTATTTCAGCATCTGAAGTTAGCTACATCTAATCTCCTCGTGACCATGCTCCAGACTTAACCACCTATGCTTACCGAATCCAGAGTACCTATTAGTCTCATTGTCACCATGCCGGATAGACCGCATTT